TTATTAGAAAGTACACGTGCACTACTCTAAAATGAGTTTTGAACTTTCGTGGAATTAAAACCGGCTAAATCGGGGGCCGGGGCGGAAGCTTTCATATCGACACAGACTGCTATAAAATTTTCAGGACCGGGTCGACTTTGAAGTGTCACAAGTTCACAACACCTTGGCCTTTGATTTTACTCACTTACTCCCTCATACATTATTGCAGTCGTAGATATGTGCATTTTTAACCTAAAGCACTTTTTTATCTTTTGTTTTTAAGAACTTTCAATAGATTTTTTACATTTTTGGATCACTGTGCTTTGATCATATATTTTAGGAACCTACTGATTTTTGAAACTTAACATATTCGCCAGATGACAGGGTTTGGAAATGTATGTAATGTATATTTGTATACGACGCTGGTTCGGTCCTTTTTCGATTATAATTTGACCTATTAAACATAATTTTTTCACCTTTTCTCTTTTATACTTTTTTGTTGGCCAATGTGTTTCAAATGAAAAGGTTTCAAAGTTTAAAGATTGAGAAATTATAGACCAAAAAGTGATCAAAGGAATTGAGTTTTTGCAATAAAGGAATTAAGTTTTTGCTACAAAGTGTGATTTTCTAATTCCTATATCTTTAAGAACCCCAATGTAGAAAAGACCTTTGATATTTCACATTATGACTGCTGTCAGATCAAATAATCTAAGTTTGAAAAATCAAAGGTTTACACCATCAGGTTTTAATGATATAGGAATAAAAAAATTAGAGTTTGTTGCAAGAACTCAATTCCTAAAAATAGAAAAAACCGGCCGTATATCGCCCTGGTTAGTCTATAAGTTATGCATATTATATTTTGGGGTTCCAATGAACTTAAAATTGATATTTACAATTATAAATTAACATTTCAAGATATGTAGATACAATTTGAATATTTAATTGCAATTTAATTACAATTACAACTTACAATCAATTTAAAATTTGTTACACAATTTGATTAAAAATTTGTAAGAATAAATATCTTGAATATTAGGAAATTCATAATGATATTAACACAATTATGCTGTGCGTTTTAGTGCCACCCCCCCCCCCAAAAAAAAAGAGTTGCGCCTTGGATGTAAGATGTCACACAGTCGATATCTTTATTTTGAAAAAATTGTTTTTGTTTCCCTTTTACGCAGAATCTAAATCAAAGCCAGCTTTCTACGCAATTTCTAGGAAATATGTAATCTCCTCACCCCCGCCTCCATGAGACACAGAATACTTACTTTACCTATACAGTCATTTCATTTCCTCCAATTCTCATCCGGCCCCCTTCATCTTCTTTTAAACCCTTCTCTCTATCTTCCAGTTTAATTTTTCAACTATCTCTCTTTTGTTTCTTTTCTTCTTCTTTCCCCTCTCTTTCCTTCCGTCCACCTCTTTCTATTTTTACCCTTCCCTTTGATTCTCTTCTTCCCCCTCCCCTTATTTTCCTCTTCTTCCCCCTCCCCTTATTTTCCTCTTCTCCCCCTCTCCTTATTTTCCTTTTCTTCCTCCCGCACCTCTTTCTCTTCTTTGCTTTGGGGGGGTTGTGAAATAGTGGTGGCCCACCTCCCACCCGTAGCCCACTCCCCCCGATTTAATTGCGATGATAGATAAGAATAGAAGGAAGTGGCGTTACGGACAGATTTTATACTTAAAAACTCAAGGCATTACCTAGGTTCATTTGCTACTTACATATACGTCCACTTGTTCAGTAATTTAAATTGTCTCAATTTGTTTTAAACTTAAATATTTTTAATATTTTCAAAATATACATGAGCTGAATCTTTCAATATTTTACTGAGGTTTAGTTAATATTGATTTTCTAGATATTTTTCTTTGCTTTACCTGTATTCTAGTCAGCAAACTGGAAATATGATTGCAGATATAATTGCTAGAAAAAGAATTGCTAGAAATGTTGTTGTGCTTTTAAGCGACAATTTGTTTGAGAAGAGCCAGCAAAGATTAACGATAGAAATTTTCTTTATTTTGAATTTTGAAATTTTCAGGTAAAAAAGAAAAAAGTATTCTAGATCACGGATATGGGCAAAAAGTTTATAGATTATGGAGCTTTTAATTAAAAGGATCATTTGAAATTCTCAAGAAAAATGTCCAAATGTCCAAATCCGAAGAATTCTTGTTATGTTTTCTCTCTCTTGGCCTGGTTATATAAACTCAAGAGTGTGCTCCGTGTTTATACTTTATACATCCCAGCTTTATTTTTACAGACAGAGAAGTTTTATGCAGCATCTTCATGCTTACCGTTGATCATTGGAGACCACTTTTTTTAGTTGAGATTAATTTTTCGCATATAAGGTTTTCCCTTATAGCGTATTGGCTAAAGAGGAAAGAAAATTGTTTGAGATTTAAAATGTCCCAAAGTTGATCTTAACAAATGTATCAAGTACTAACTTGAGAACATAGCTTTGCCTGGGAACTTTGCTTTAAGACTAGATTTTCTCTGTGAAAGACTTCCCACTAAACTTAGATAATAACATTCCGGTGGTTCTACGAGTTTCTCAATCAAAATTTGAGGCAAATCGGCCAAGGGGAGATCAGACATGCAAACAAACAGAACAGACAAACAGAGATCACTACTTTATATAAGATAGTTATTCTCTTGTCGTGATTTGTTTCTTCTATGGTTATGGAAAGTTTCAATCGAAGGAAAATTTTGTGAACTGTTTATTTATGTATTTTTCGTTTCTATCTCCGACATTTTTATGTTTATACAAACACATTGAAAGATTTATCCCTGCACCTTCACATCAACAACACATCAGGATCGATCTGGAGGGGGGGGGGGGTTTATATGAAAGAGGATGGAGGGAGGGGGAGGGGGAGGGGGTTACATCTGCTAGTATTTAGTTAGTATATAAGCTAAATGGTAAAACCTTTTGTACTCTGACAAGCTCCAAAAAAAAGGACATAATTTGTGGATGGCTAAATTATAACATGGTATTTGTCCCCGATAATTAAGGGTTCTGAATTAAAGATTGCAAGTCTTATATTTGGATTTTGGAACCTAGTTAATTCTGCTAAATGAAGATTATTCGTATTTAATTGCTCTTTAATACATTTTAAACATTGAAGTACAGGAAAAGTATTATTCTATTTTCGACGGATTTTGAATAAAAAATTCAAATATGACTTAAAATATATCGAGACTTACAGGGAACACTGCTTTATTTATGACTGTTTTACGGATAAATCTAATTCCTCATGGATATCCCGTGATAATCATACCCTGCAGCGATAACTTTATTTAAGGGATCAATGAAGTTATTATTTGGTAGGTTTAAACCAGCTTGAGATTGGGATTCTAAAGAAATTTTGCACATTTTAAAATTGTGGAAAATTAAAAATTAGTAAAATTAAAATTTTGAAAATTGACAGACCTAAATAGAAACCACCCAGTATAAACTATATAAAATAATGCAGCCTTCATTCATGAAGTTGTATTATTTGTTAAAATTAAACTAATTCTTACCCAGTTAGTTTTTAATTTAATTTTTTTCTTTGCTAAATTCAAATATCTTGAGGGAGATTTAATTAACACATGATGTATTCTTACATAAATTAAATACATGCATGGTGGTTCAATCCTAATTATATTTTATTTAGGATTAATTTAATCGTACCTTTTTAACAGTAATAACTCAAATCATGAGATCAAGCTTTGATCATCAGATCTAAAATTTTCTACATCGGATATCGATATCAAGTGTTCAAGAGACTAACAATGTCCATACAAAAGTTCCGATTTTTCAACAGAAATATTTTTTTCCTTTTTAATTTTACCAAGGCAACATGTTCATTTCATTGCAATAAAGAAATATTTTGCGGATTTTTCTGTAGAAAAATAGAATTTTTTTTAGTTTTTGGGACAAAATCTTTATGACCAGCCATTTTGCTAACTGGATCTTAGTGAAGTGTGCTTATGATATAGTTAAAACAGCGCCGTGACCCCCTGCCCGGTCCCGTGTCCGGTCCCCTGCCCGGTCCCCTGCCGGTCCCCTGTCCGGTCCCCTACCCGATCCCCTGCCCGGTCCCCTACCCGGTCCCCTGCCCGGTCCCTTACCCGGTCCCCTACCCGGTCCCCTGCATGAATTGTAATATTAACTTGCATGTAAATAACACAAAGTTAAATTCTGTTATTTTCGTATCTTGTCAAATATATTCTAGACTCGATTTATAACATTCTTAACTTTTTATATATCGAATATAATTAATTCTTGAAAGCGTTTAACACTGTTAAGAAATGATGGATTGTTACGCAAAAAAGTGATTATGTAATATGAGTTAGTGGTCATTATTCAACAAGATTGAAAATATAAGAATAAGAAACTTCCAGAGCACTTTTTTACATTCCCAAAGTACAATTATTTCTAGGAAAGATATAAGATAAAATGTGGTAATTAAACATAATCCCCTTGATCTAGACATAATGAAAATAAGTGGGACGACTTTGTGATCTCATAGCTTTTCTAGTTTCAGGTTTACTCCCGCGGCCTAAGTAGCAGGAAAAAAATTAATTTAGCTGCTTATTACAATTTGAAAACATTTTTCTTCACAATAGTTTCTTAGCAAAAGGAGTTATAAATGAAAGTACACATTTTTTCACAATATACATTACACAAACAACATTTTTGAGGTGATTATTCAATATTATATATTATGGACACAATTGATACCCCAGGTGAGTTTGGGCATGTGATTCTATCAAGTTTGATGTAAACATTAATTGCTAAATCCACTGAAAACTCCGGTGTATTTGAAGTACCGGGCTGAATGACCGGGTATCTAGAGCACGTTGTACAGTACACAACATGCAGACTGCAAACATCAAAACAAAACAGTACTGCAATTAAATAAATCTTTTTTATTGGGATAAAAATGGACTAGCTGTTTTTTCTATTTTTTTCTGATTTGGAAAAATTGTTAGGTTAGGTTAGGAACGATGTACTCTTTTACTACAACTAGGCTAGTGTCCCTATTCCTTTATATATATTTACAGATAAGAATGTCGGATGTTAACATGAACTCAAGCTGATTACATATTATCAACTGCAGCTGATTTATTCAACAATATGGGCAGTTACATGCAAGATATGGCACAGGTAACATATTGTATCTATATTAATAAAGTTGTAATCTCTGTTTGTCTGTTTGTTTGTATGTCCGATCGTAACTCATGTACCCATCTACCGATTTGCCTCCAATTTTTATTGGAGAACTCGGGAGAACCTCCGGAATGTTCTTAGCTTGGTTTAATAGGTCTTAGTTGAATAGGTTGAGTCTTGTAAAGAAAACTTCTAAGCAAAATATAAATTAGTAATCTGTTCTTCTGTTTGGTTGTTTAGATGTCCGGTCATTACTAACCGATTTGCCTCACATTTTTTGGGAGTATTTGGTAGAACCACGGGAATGTTCTTAAAAATTGTAAGTTGAGAGAATTGACTTTATATTGAAAATGCCAGGCAAAGGTGGGTTCCTAGGGTAGTACTAAAATAAAAACAATGCATACAAAGCTATAACTTTAGTACTAAAATAAAAACAATGCATACACAGCTATAACTTTAGTACTAAAATAAAAACAATGCATACAAAGCTATAACTTTAGGCCTTTTCAACTTCATTATATAACACAAATTTTGAAATTTAAAAATATTGTTCCCATTGGACGTTGAAACAGCTGGTCTTTGTTTAAAAAAAAAAAAATTTACCATAAATTTGATTTTATTAACACATCTAAAATTTACTCATTTGAAAAGCCCTTAAAAAAAGGATGTTACAGTGCCTCATGTTAATATTTGTCAAAAATGCAAACAGATATTTAAAAAAATTTTCCGACCTACTTTTTCTACTCTACCTCACTTTTAAGAGCAAAATAAAGTTAAACGTTCATAAGCCCGATCAGTATAAGGTTAATGTTATAAGTAACAACCATGACAAATTTAACAAAGCTTTTTTTCCTGAAGAAACCCATTATTATCCTGAAATACAGAGTTACTCATAAAGGAATTGATTTAGATTCTGTTGGAAACCGAAATATTTTTTTGGATCATTATATTTGAATAGTTTCAGACCGTCATCATAGTATCTCCTCCTTTATCAAGGGAACTAGGGAATCTTTCCTGAGTATTTTCCACCGGATCCTTGTTCTCAAATGTTTGAAAAATTCCCTTAACTCCTCCGGATATTATGGTCTTGCAAACCATTACTCTCAAGCATATTGCATCCTAATGGACGGAACAAGGAGACTCAAAAATCATTGAAAATTATTCTTTAAAGTTGTTTCTGGTTATATACTGTAAACACAAAAATTAGCATTAGTGTTAAATGGTTTTTAAATTCTGGGAGTGTCACGAAAGAATACTCTTTAAAAAATATGTTAAATTTTTATTAATTTTCCAGACTTTTGGGGGTCTCAAAATTAGCTTATAATTTTTGGTAAATTTTGAGAGATTCTATATAAATTCGTTTTATTCTTGAAAATGTATGACTCCCATCGAATTAAATCAACAATAAAAAAGTAACATCAATACTAAAAGTATATAATCACCATTCATCTGATTTAAAGTTTGGAATCGAATTATCACTTTTATTTTATCTTATTTTAAAATATCAGAATTTAAATTTTTGAAAATTCAGCAATCAGCATATTTAAAATTTTTTCTCTACAAAATACGATTTCATATTTCTTAAATTAAACATTTCAGCATATCTTGTTTATCTCCAATAAATTTAATCCACGTGTTTTCATTACATTTTTGGCTTTTGTTGCGATTTTTGCATTTTAATATTCTTCAATGCGGAGATTGATATAATGAAATAGTGTGAAAGAGAAGAAAGTAACTGATTAGTAGTTAAGCTTATCTCAAACTTTAGTTTTCTAATCTCTAAATCTTTGCAACCTGAGCTGAAAACTTTAGAATTAAATATCCTTAATCCCGATCGGATAATTAATCTGGAGATTAATAACAAGAGGAGAACAAACAATATTTAATCAGAGCTGGGAACTTTAGAATGGTGGATATCGGGATTAATGCTTGATCCACTCTTTTTCTTAATCTCCAAAATTAAATATTGCTTGTTGTCCTCATGAATTTAATCTCCAGATTAATTAACAGATCGGGATTAAGGATATCTCATTCTAAAGTTTTCAGCTCAGGAGACTTAGAAAAAGAGGAGATCAAGCATTGATCTCGATATCCACCATTCTAAAGTTTTCAGCTCTGAAATATTACAGGTCTAAAACATCAGGATGAGACAAGTAATCAGTTCCTTTAAAAGTTGTTAAGAAACTTAATATATAATTTTAAACACATGTACTTTGCACGGACTAAATAAAAAAGCTCGTATTTTTACCTAACTATGCTCAAAACTAGATCTATGTCAAATATCATCGTTGAACAAATTTAACATTAAGATTTTCAGCATTTTCATAAATACGGTTTAAATTTCAATTTAGTAAAATCCGCAAAAAACAAACTTTAAATTCGCAATGTTTGCTTAAATCATGGAGGAAACTAAGGAGGTACACTTTTAGAGATCAGCTATTTTAATAATGCATACAGTAATAACCAGAATAAAGTGGAATTAATTAGATAATTTAGAGATCAGCTGTTTTAATAATGCATACAGTAGTAACCAGAATAATTAACTAGATAATTTAGAGATCAGCTGTTTTAATAATGCATACAGTAATAACCAGAATAAAGTGGAATTAACAAGATAATTTAGAGATCAGCTGTTTTAATAATGCATACAGTAATAACCAGAATAAAGTGGAATTTAGAGATCAGCTGTTTTAATAATGCATACAGTAATAACCAGAATAAAGTGGAATTAGCTAGATAATTTAGAGATCAGCTGTTTTAATAATGGATACAGAAATCACCATAATGAAGTGGAATTAATTAAATAATTTAACTATTATAATTAGAAAAGACAGGATTTTGTTATTTCTATTTGGTGAAACTCTGAAAATGTGATCAGAGCTGGGAACTTTTGAGTTGGATACTCATAATACCAATAGTTTGATCTCTATATTCAATGTGGGCACTTCCATTAATAATTTGGATTCAGTTATACCTTTACTATTCAGAGTACTATTACACTGCGGAATATCAAATAAAGATTAACTAATCTGCAGATTAACAAGCTCGAGATAAAGCATTGATCTTGATATCCACAAAACAAGAGTTTCCAACTCTGAGTTTTTTCAGAGAAATATCAGTCATAACTATTACAAATGATAAAATCTATTTCTTACTGAACACTTAAAGGGAGTGTTCGTGAAAAATGAAAGGGCGTATAGGCTTAATGCGATAAAAAAGCGCTTTTGATCGCTATTAATCTTACTTCTATCTGTTGCGTCTATAAGGAGAAAATTGTTAAAAACGGCTAATACCGAAGAACGTAGTGTCCATACAAATTCAGAAAGATGCAAAATTCAACTCGGATCGTAAACAAATCAATTTAATTCCAAACAAGATATTACAAACAGTAGTCATCGATTATTTTTCGACGCATTCGTATATAGTTAATATTTCATAATATTTTTAAACAAAGACAACTTTTTTCCACTTTGCACTAGTTACATGAGTTATTATTGTATACATACATTGTATATTAAATTGATATTATTTTGTTTAATGCATTTTCATAATACCAGCTTATTGCAAGTGCATAGTACAAATTGCAAAAAATTGCTTAAGATATCGCCTCATTGAGGAAAATAAATTTAATTATTTAGCATTTTTAAACTAAATGAGATTATAGATATATATTAAATAATATTTAAGATAAGATTTTTTATCATCTCTATATACAAAATACATATAATCTTACGATATTCCAGTGAACATTTTAAAGATTGAATTTGGAAATTCTTCAAAAAAACCCACTCTAAAATCGTTGTTTAACCAAAATTTCTAATTTCAAAATTAAGATTGCATCATTATGCATTATTAAATCAAATAACAGTAAGAATTCGGCTCTCCTTCATGCAAGCTTTTATTTCAATTTTCAACAATTTCATCTTAGATCAGACCATTGAAATTTTAACTGTTTTCTTGTTTACTGTCGTTTAGTAAATGCGCAGTAATTTAATAGTTTTCATGTGTGTCTTTAATTTATGGAATTTATTAACATATGACCTTGAAACAAAACACACCAGATAGTTCATAACAAATAAGCATGAAAATCTAGATTAATAAAAACTAGAATAATCAAGTTTTACTGAGAGTGACGATAAGAAATTTTAACAAAAATATGATAAATCAAGAGCAAATTTTATTTACAAAAAAAACAAAGTTTACAAAGTTTGTAAAATGGGGGGGGGGGGGTTAAAACTGTTTTCCCCCCATGCACATGTCATCCTTATGGTCTGGGATGATTTTGTCTTATTTACATAATCTAGAAAACTTTATCTTATCTTTGCAAATATACAGTTCAAATCAAATATGAAAAGATTATCTTATATTTTATCATTTTCAAATGATAGGCTTAATATAATAATAATATAGTTAAATATCAATTCTTTTGATTTAAAGAGAGTGTTCGCGTAAATTAAAAGAAGGGTTAGACTGAATTCTTGAAAAAATCGGATTAAATCGCTACTACACTCTAAATTACGAAATAAAAAAATCGCCTATTTGGCAACAAGAGTTGGATGCCAATCAAGTGACAAAAAATCTCTTTTAACGGTTTGAGTGGAATAACCCAATGAAGTGAATTTACGCTCGAATCAGACTTTTTTAGGATTTAGCCTGACCCCTTTTTATTTTTTGCGAACACTCCCTTTAAATATCAATGAAATTAAACCCAACCAAAGTGAACTGCAACCAAAACAATTAAAAATCCGTTCAACTACCACAACCTGATGATGTAAACCTTTGATATTTCAAACTTGATCTAATCCGTTCAACTACCACAACCTGCTGGTGTGAACCTTTGATATTTCAAACTTGATCTAATCCGTTCAACTACCACAACCTGATGGTTAAACCTTTGATATTTCAAACTTGATCTAATCCGTTCAACTACTACAACCTGATGGTGTAAACCTTTGATATTTCAAACTTGATCTAATCCGTTCAACTACCACAACCTGATGGTTTAAACCTTTGATATTTCAAACTTGATTTAATCCGTTCAACTACCACAACCTGATGGTGTGAACCTTAGATATTTCAAACTTGATCTAATCCGTTCAACTACCACAACCTGATGGTGTGAACCTTTGATATTTCAAACTTGATTTAATCCGTTCAACTACCACAACCTGATGGTTTAAACCTTTGATATTTCAAACTTGATCTAATCCGTTCAACTACCACAACCTGATGGTGTGAACCTTTGATATTTCAAACTTGATCTAATCCGTTCAACTACTACAACCTGATGGTGTAAACCTTTGATATTTCAAACTTGATCTAATCGATGTAGTTGAATTTATAGTTTGAAATATGAAATGTCTTTTTAACCAAAAAGTATAAGATTAGAAAATCTAGAGTTTGTTAAAAGTAATGTTTTTATATGATTTCGTAAATATTATATAATTGTCATGATAAGAACCTAGTGATTTCCTAATAAATATTTTGTGGTTAAAATCATTAAGTTGTTGCCAGGAAATACTTTTAATATTTGTATTCAACAATGAACATAAAAACCGCATAGAGTGAGGTTTGCCGAGAAATGGAACAGGGTCTTGGATTTATTGGTATCGAAATATTAATCGATTTTATATAAGGACCCGGTTTTTTTATTTTAAATTTTCTTTAAAATATCAGTGTTGTTTTTAAGTTGCTGTTGTTAGCGTTACTGAGATTGTTGTGGTTGTTGTTATTGTCATTATTGTTGTTGTTGTTATTACCTTTATTATTGTTGTTGTTATTGTTTTTATTATTGTTGTTTTTATTTAAATTCTTATTGTTGTTATTGTTGTTGATATTGCTATTGTTGTTGATTATGTTATTGTTGTTGATATTGTTATTGTTATTATTGTTGATATTGTTATTATTGTTGATATTGTTATTGTTGTTGATATTGTTATTGTTGTTGATTTTGTTATTGTTGTTGATATCGTTATTATTGTTGAAATTGTTATTGTTGTTGTTATTGTTATTGTTATTGTTGTTGTTAATTTTATTGCTATTGTTATTATTATTATTATTGTTGTTGTAGTGGTTTTGGGATCCTGATGTGTGGTTGCCCCCCAACGTGACCTGGGACAGCTTCAATCAACCCAAGCAGGTCAACGACAGCCTCCTTGAACCACAGGACTTCGCCAAATTCAGGTTCAGTCTCTCTCCTTCTTAATTCATGATCGAATTGATGGTGTGGGGTGTGGGTGGGTAATGTTGGAGTTTTGGTCCCCGGAGAAGATAAAGATTCATTTAAGACGGGTTTTGACATAATTTCAGGAGTAACAATCAATCTTGAGAACTAACAAATATACTGTCAATTGTCTCTCCTACATAAATCCACAACCCACTTCTGTAGAAACCTTTAAGAAAGAAAAATAAGAATCTCCACTTGAAATTACATTAACAGTTCCTTTAAAAATTATACCGATTCACTTCAAACTTGGTATTAACTTATTTTTAATAATTTGGAACTTCGGATTTGAGAATGAAAACTGAATATCAATCATATTAAAAATTATGTTATGGTTTAAAAAGTATTATTTGTTGTTGCTCTTTTTGCTATTTTCTTTAAGATATTTTTTTCATACAGAGTTTCCCACAAAAGATGAAACTTTTTAATAGTCGTTCATGTTTCGCTGCAAGATATTAGTTCAAAACAATTTAGAAAAAGGACATTTCTGATTCAAAGCCTCATCCTTTGTGGGTAACCTTGTAAAATGTAAAATATAATATTATAATATTATATTTTAAAACTATAAAAGAAATTCCTTTACTGATTTGATTAAACAATAAGACTGAACGGAATATTTAAATGAAAAGAATAAAGTATTTTTTATAAAATATGAATTAATTTCAGTGATCTGTGGTTTCCATTACCCCTGGCGATTCTTGTTATTATACTCAGATCTTTAGTTGAGAAGAAAATATTCAAACCTGTAGGTAAAATAATAATGATAATAACTATCCTTACCGGGGTGTATACGGGAGGGGGCCG